GTTGTATCCTGAGTCACACGAGTATGTGACTGTGTCTCCAAAGGAGTTAGAACCAGTCACGGCACCGTTTGTAGGAGCTGGCGGGGTGGGGCACTGTCCAGCTGTATATCGTGGATATTGCTTATTATTGCCATGTTTAAAACTGTCAAAATTGCTATTTGCAGAGTAATTAACTTATTTTTTTATTTCTACTTTCATGACAATATTAACAGAACGTGTATATATAAGAATAGAGCGTTCGTTTTACTCCAACCTAAGTTTTTTTTTTTTCATTGTGCAAAGAACAGCAAAGTGAACAAAATATACAATGGTAAAGGTTATATAAAAGCGAAACATCACCTTCGCAGGTCGGGTCACTTGCAGTCCAAGTCAGGTCTGTCTGACAGGTACGTGTAGCTGAACCAACCAGGTTGTATCCTGAGTCACACGAGTATGTGACTGTGTCTCCCAAGGAGTTAGAACCAGTCACGGCACCGTTTGTAGGAGCTGGCGGGGTGGAACACTGTCCAGCTGTATATCGTTGATATTCCTCATTACTATCATGTTCAAAACTGTCAAAGTTAGAATCGAGCGTTTTACTCCAACCTAAGTTTTTATTTTTTTTTTCGTTGTGCAAAGAACAACAAATTAAACAAAATATACAATGATAATGGTTATATAAAAGAGAAACATGACCTTCGCAGGTCGGGTCACTTGCAGTCCAAGTCAGGTCTGTCTGACAGGTACGTGTAGCTGAACCAACCAGGTTGTATCCTGAGTCACACGAAAATGTGACTGTGTCTCCCAAGGAGTTAGAACCAGTCACGGCACCGTTTGTAGGAGCTGGCGGGGTGGAACACTGCCCAGCTGTATATCGTGAATATTGCTTATCACTGCCTTAACATTAAAGTTTTCTCTTACTTTGAGTAAAAAAACGACTTAACACTATTCAGACCGGGAGGGAGGGGCTTTTTTGAGGCCAGCGCCCAATTTCATCTCAGATAACGCCTGAACGGCTTGCGCTAAAAGCGTCAAATTTGGCGACATTTCCTAAAAGTTAACTGGCAACAAATTCATATTAATTAGATAGTTTCTTGATTTTTCGTGTGGCCATGGCAACGGGTTTTTGATAGGCAGTCTTTGGAAAAAACACTAAGTTTGGTTCAAACATAAAAATGTTCTAGGTTCTATGTTTAATTACATTTCCTTTTTAACATTAACAACATCTTATATAATTAAATATATTTTTCTATAATTAAATATTAATAATTAATGCTAATTTGATGACATCATCGGTCAAAAAACCAAGATGGCGGACCATAAAATTAGCTCTTCTTTGACCATGATTTTTTCACTAATTTTTTATGTTTTAACTCCGAATTTTTTTCACATAAAACGTTAATATGAACACCTTAAGTCTATTAGCGTTTCGTTTTGAGGCTGTTTGTTAAAATAATGCAATTTTCAAAATTCAAGATTTCTGATCCAAGATGGCCGACAGCTTAATTTTCATGACGTCATTATATGAAGTCATTTAGACGTAAGTGTTGTTGCCAGGGGCAATATAAGTATTAGCAGACATTAATATTCTATCAAAGACAAATTTTGTTGAAATTTGCTTGTATTCCTCTGAGTTTTACGGAAAAATATTTTTGATGGTTTTACCCAAGAAAATCACTTTAATGACGTCATAATGGCGTCATATGACGTTACAATTACACAAAATTTATTATGAATTTTATAACTACAACATTCTCTGAAAAATTTGGTGGCTCTACTATAAGTGGTTGTTGAGTTACAGGGTCTGAGCATGCCCTAAAAGCCCGATCAGAATAGGGTTAACTCTTCAGCAATCGCCCCATCGGAATCTATACTCAAGCTGGGTATCGTTCCCGTCACACCATGCATGGGTCTGCATGGAGGGGCACTACTCATTCACTGGGTTATAACTACATGTGGTTCCATTCCTTGTTAGTCCATAACTAAATTTTACAAATTTGGTAGAATTTGTATCAATAAAAATGTTTTCTTTTAGGTGATACTGGCCTCTGCTCGAGTGTGCTTTTAACTCCAATTTACGTTTTATGCCTTTTTTTGTGAAGTAACAAAGTAATCGAAATACACAGTTATAATGGTTATATAAAAGCAAAACATCACCTTCGCAGGTCGGGTCACTTGCAGTCCAAGTCAGGTCTGCCTGACAGGTACGTGTAGCTGAACCAACCAGGTTGTATCCTGAGTCACACGAGTATGTGACTGTGTCTCCAAAGGAGTTAGAACCAGTCACGGCACCGTTTGTAGGAGCTGGCGGGGTGGGACACTGTCCAGCTGTATATCGTGTACATTGCTTATTCCTTTTTTTTTAACTGTCAAAGTTGCTATTTATAGAGTAATTAACTATTTTTTTTATTTCTACTTTCATGGCAAAATTAACAAAACGTGTACAGATAAGAATGGAGCGATTTACTCCAACTCAAGTTTATATTTTTTCTTGGCGCAAAGAACAACAAAGTAAACAAAACATACAATGGTAATTGTTATATAAAAGCGAAACATCACCTTCGCAGGTCGGGTCACTTGCAGTCCAAGTCAGGTCTGCCTGACAGGTACGTGTAGCTGAACCAACCAGGTTGTATCCTGAGTCACACGAGTATGTGACTGTGTCTCCCAAGGAGTTAGAACCAGTCACGGCACCGTTTGTAGGAGCTGGCGGGGTGGAACACTGCCCAGCTGTATATCGTGTACATTGCTTATTCCTTTTTTTCAACTGTCAAAGTTGCTATTTATAGAGTTAGTAGAAATTCTTCAATCAGTGACTGTATTTAAAGGTAAAAACACGTACCTCCAAATTTTCGGTGTCGACTGTACACCTTTCTCAAGGAGTGATTAACACGAGCGAGAACACGAGACTAGGTCGAGACTTGTGTGGATCTTCTGACCTCCCCCGCATCCTTGCGGAGTAGGAGTAGGTAGGACTTGGGCAGCTCCCAACCTTTATTGCGATTTATCCCGGCACGTTCCAACTGGATATGGATCGGACCGCTTCCTTAATCTTTCTATGTGACTTCCGGGATTCCTGGTCTATGATCTTAACGATGTCCAAAATAGGGCCGTTTGTGACCCTATGTCCCGCTTTGAGTTCATGTTGGCTAAGCGCGGATTTACCGTCCTGACGGTCTACAGACTTCTGATGTTCGTCAGTCCAGAAGATCCACACAAGTCTCGACCTAGTCTCATGTTCTCGCGAGACTAGGTCACTCCTTGAGAAAGGTGTACAGTCGACACCGAAAATTTCGAGGTACGTGTTTTTACCTTTAAATACAGTCACTGATTGAAGAATTTCTACTAACTGTTAATTCTACGTGACTGATGAACCTCTTCAATGCTATTTATAGAGTAATTAACTATTTTTTTTATTTCTACTTTCATGGCAAAATTAACAGAACGTGTACAGATAAGAATGGAGCGATTTACTCCAACTCAAGTTTATATTTTTTCTTGGCGCAAAGAACAACAAAGTAAACAAAACATACAATGGTAATTGTTATATAACAGCGAAACATCACCTTCGCAGGTCGGGTCACTTGCAGTCCAAGTCAGGTCTGTCTGACAGGTACGTGTAGCTGAACCAACCAGGTTGTATCCTGAGTCACACGAGTATGTGACTGTGTCTCCCAAGGAGTTAGAACCAGTCACGGCACCGTTTGTAGGATCTGGCGGGGTGGAACACTGTCCAGCTGTATCGTGGATATTGCTCATTACTGTCATGTTCAAAACTGTCAAAGTTAGAATCGAGCGTTTTACTCCAACCTAAGTTTTTAATTTTTTTTTCTTTGTGCAAAGAACAACAAAGTAAACAAAATATACAATGATAATGGTTATATAAAAGCGATACATCACCTTCGCAGGTCGGGTCACTTGCAGTCCAAGTCAGGTCTGTCTGACAGGTACGTGTAGCTGAACCAACCAGGTTGTATCCTGAGTCACACGAGTATGTGACTGTGTCTCCCAAGGAGTTAGAACCAGTCACGGCACCGTTTGTAGGAGCTGGCGGGGTGGAACACTGCCCAGCTGTATATCGTGAATACTGCTTATCACTGCCTTAACATTAAAGTTTTCTCTTACTTTGAGTAAAAAAACGACTTAACACTATTCAGACCGGGAGGGAGGGGCTTTTTTGAGGCCAGCGCCCAATTTCATCTCAGATAACGCCTGAACGGCTTGCGCTAAAAGCGTCAAATTTGGCGACGTTTCCTAAAAGTTAACTGGCAACAAATTCATATTAATTAGATAGTTTCTTGATTTTTCGTGTGGCCATGGCAACGGGTTTTTGATAGGCAGTCTTTGGAAAAAACACTAAGTTTGGTTCAAACATAAAAATGTTCTAGGTTCTATGTTTAATTACATTTCCGTTTTAACATTAACAACATCTTATATAATTAAATATATTTTCTATAATTAAATATTAATAATTTATGCTAATTTGATGACATCATCGGTCAAAAACCAAGATGGCGGACCATAAAATTAGCTCTTCTTTGACCATGATTTTTTTACTAATTTTTCGTTTCAACTCCGTATTTTTTTTCACATAAAACGTTCATATGAACATCTTAAGTCTATTAGCGTTGCGGTCTGAGGCTGTATGTTAAAAGAATGCAATTTTCAAAATTCAAGATTTCTGATCCAAGATGGCCGACAGCTTAATTTTCATGACGTCATTATATGAAGTCATTTAGACGTAAGTGTTGTTGCCAGGGGCAATATAAGTATTAGCAGACATTAATATTCTATCAAAGACAAATTTTGTTGAAATTTGCCTGTATTCCTCTGAGTTTTACGGAAAAATATTTTTGATGGTTTTACTCAAAACATCACTTTAATGACGTCATAACGGCGTCATATGACGTTATAATTACACAAAACTTGTTATAAATTTTATAACTACAACATTCTCTGAAAATTTGGTGGCCCTACTATAAGTGGTTGTTGAGTTACAGGGTCTGAGCATGCCCTAAAAGCCCGATCAGAATAGGGTTAACTCTTCAGCAATCGCCCCATCGGAATCTATACTCAAGCTGGGTATCGTTCCCGTCACACCATGCATGGATCTGCATGGAGGGGCACTACTCATTTACTGGGTTATAACTACATGTGGTTCCATTCCTTGTTAGTCCATAACTAAATTTTACAAATTTGGTAGAATTTGTATCAATAAAAATGTTTTCTTTTAGGTGATACTGGCCTCTGCTCGAGTGTGCTTTTAACTCCAATTTACGTTTTATGCCTTTTTTGTGAAGTAACAAAGTAATCGAAATACACAGTTATAAAGGTTATATAAAAGCAAAACATCACCTTCGCAGGTCGGGTCACTTGCAGTCCAAGTCAGGTCTGCCTGACAGGTACGTGTAGCTGAACCAACCAGGTTGTATCCTGAGTCACACGAGTATGTGACTGTGTCTCCCAAGGAGTTAGAACCAGTCACGGCACCGTTTGTAGGAGCGTCCGGGGTAGGGCACTGTCCAGCTGTATATCGTGTGCATTGCTTATTACTGCTTTTTTTAAACTGTCAAAGTTGCTATTTACAGAGTAATTAACTTTTTTATTATTTCTACTTTCATGACAAAATTAACAGAACGTGTACAGATAAGAATAGAGCGTTTTACTCCAACCTAAGTTTTTATTTTTTTCTTGGTACAAAGAACAACAAAGTAAACAAAATATACAATGGTAATTGTTATATAAAAGCGAAACATCACCTTCGCAGGTCGGGTCACTTGCAGTCCAAGTCAGGTCTGCCTGACAGGTACGTGTAGCTGAACCAACCAGGTTGTATCCTGAGTCACACGAGTATGTGACTGTGTCTCCTAAGGAGTTAGAACCAGTCACGGCACCGTTTGTAGGAGCTGGTAGGACGTTACACTCTCCGACTGTGTACCCGAAAGATTTTACAATGAACACTTTTGGATGGGGATGAAGAAGGAGTGGAATATGCTGCATTCACTCGAACACGTTTTGCTGATTATGATATTTCATTGCTACCTTCTTTTCACTACTTGCTCTTTACCTTATTTTCATTTACTCTTTAATGATTTAATAATTCGTAGAAAGCTTAGACGAAGACTTTAGGTTTCAACTGTTAGCAAGTGTATTCCAAGGGTTTTCTACACCCGTGGCGTTAAAAAAAGACATTGGTTTTGCAAGCAAGTGCCTATATCAACAGGCAATAACTATGATCTATAACACGACAAAGATAAAGAAAATTACTAAAAGCTGGTACCTGAACATCCAGATCCACTGACGTACCCATCTCCTACATACCCAGCGCTGCACGTACATGTAGCAGGTGGAGCAGGGTTGTCCGTGCAAGTGGCAAGTGCTACACACGGGTTATACAAGCAGGAATCTGCAGAAAAAATATGATTAATCAAACTTTATAAATCACAGAGAAAAAAATCTCCTGAAGGAAAACCAGAGCCCTTATAAACCTAAAAAAAAAAGATATAGGCATGCTAAAATATCATCATAAACATGCTAAATAAAATATATACGACGCATAACCTACCCATTAATTTTTATGTCACTAGATGGCTTTGTTTTTCTTTCTGGATATTTTACAGCTACTAAAGTATTGTCTTTAATTGTGCTTCATCACCATTATCATCGTCACATTATTTATTCAGTAACAAAATTTAGTTAAGCCTACGCCCTTTACATAGGTTTACATAGATAATATCATGAGGCCTATGATACTTTAGTTAGTACTTACCTTCCTTTAAGGCACAGAAAGCTAGTCGGTCTTGTCTGCCATCTGTGGCACAATACCCGTCGGCCTCAACACCACAAGCCATACCGGGACCAGCGAGTAAGTACATAGCGTACACTCCTAGAAACTCGGGGCAACTACTAGGAGCTGTGCCACAGAGTACATTTGATACGTCATACATAGGTGACAGACATTCTATCAGTCCAGTTTGGTCACAGTTTTCAATGGTCCTATAGCAATTGCTTTCTTCTCCTGGGCACGGTGCAAGGTAACCTGCGGCCTGACAAGTTTCCCCTACGTTGATATCAGTCATTGGTCCAGTTGCCGGCACCTTGAAGTAGTCGTGGCCTGCAAACGTCGCTAGATACGTGGCGGCTAAAGAGAGAAAGATTATGTTTAGTTGAAGTATGTTAGTTACAATGAATATATTAGAACAGGAATTTGCAACCACATTTAACATGATACGAAACTACATATACGTTGCGAGATTCCAGAAAAAAGGCGCAAAGGGACAGCTCAAGATCAGTAGATGTCCCTAGTATGCAAATTAAACGTAAAGGAACCATTACATACACATCAAGCGTTTGACGAACTACTGACGAACAACACATTTTTTCATTGATTTTCCAAATGAGAGCCTTATTTGCGTAAAATATATCGTGATCATGCTCCCCACCTAATGACCATCTAACCATGACACAGAAGGCTATTATATTTTATCACATCAGGACCAGCATGTCTTCAATTCTTTTAATGTATCATGGAAAGAAGTGACTGGATGATGAATTTTGTCGCCTGATGACCAAATAAATGCGTTCTATGAAGAGAGTTCAAGGCCATTCCGTCATCTGAGATTACGAAACCTTTTCAGAAACATGAAGTAGCAGTAGTAAGTTATCTCAGCATATAAGATGTTACCCTGGGAAAATCCGTTTTTGGAAGCTCCGGTAAAAAAAAGTGTAAAAATTATATTCTCCTGGTCTAAATTTTACATCTTACTATGGTTTTTATTCCAATTAATGAGGCAGCTGGAGAGAGTCCGTCGCACACAGAAACCGTGAAACAAACTTCCGTACGAGACGGGAAATCACAAGAATTCGTCCACACGTTCTTGAGTTATCCTGTCTCTTAGATTTCTCAAGAAATGCTCCTGCAGTTCCAGAACAAGCGGCTATAGGGATTGAAACTAATGCCACTTTTTTTTCTTAGCAAAAGGATTTTCACCATCCATACTTCGTGACCCTAGCATGTCCATATCACTATATTTGAAGACAACGGGGTTCTCCTACAGTACCGTAACTAGCCACAAGGGGGCTTAAAATCTTATTAGTAGGTCTCATTAACATCTATCCAACTAAAGAGTTTAATAAAAACCCATCCAATGCTCTTTAAGTTATCTTTCTCATCCACATATATAGGCTTGTACACACAATTACACACGCACACACACACACACACACACACACACACACAAAAGCTATTATAAAAACATAACCATCTTGGCGATGGTAAAATAGCAAGAGTGAGGAAGCTTCGAACATGATGTACAAAGTTGTTCTAAACACTTTACCCTATACTAGAATAGCTTGATATAATGGGTGACATTTACTATACAAACAGTATTGAGATTAAAAGTAAAAAACAATAGTCCGGACGTCTATCATGTTAAAGAAGAGTTTGTTTGATACACCTTACCCTACCACCATAGCCTGACAGAATGGGTCACATTAGCTCTACAAACAAAACCAAGTGTAATAGAATAGAATAGAATAACTTTAGCAGCAAACAAGTCGTTACAATTTACTCATCATCATCATCAGTCTTTCAAATAGCTCTGTTAGCATTTGATTTAATATTTTAATGTCTTGGGGTGGTGGGACTACGGCGCACATGTCAACTTTGTATATTTAAACGTTAACTGTACTTTTTTGTGTGTGGCGCTGTTAATATAAGTTTTTAACTTGAGTGCAGCGTCACACTGTCCTTGTTATGTCTTTATGTTTTGATGAATAAAAAAAGTCAAAACCGGGCCACCAAACAATTCGTCGAAATATATCTGCTACTCAAAATTGCTGACGGTAGCATATGCATATCTACGACCAAATATAACAACAAAAAGGGCTTCTGCAGTGCTAAGGAGAGCCATATGGAGACTAATAATTAAGCTTAACCGTCGTCTTTCATAGGCGTATGTACTTATTAAATATAACAAGTCATCTCTATATATTAGCTTCTTGATTTATTCTGGTCAATGTATGCAAAAAAAAAACACAAATCGAAACCAGGAGCATGGCAGGTACGCAAGAAGACCAGGATAGCCCAACGCGTGTCCTTACATTTTTTTTTTTCATATCAAATAGACTAATCTAGGGCTTCTCGACTTATGCTGTATTCACACACACAAACACGCACAAACACACATACATACACACATGCATACACACACACAAACACGCACAAACACATACACAATTATACAAAGTCTATTTTCTCCCAGGTTGATTTACTAACTTAAAGGCAATGTGGATACACAGAAAAGGTATCATCTGTCTGACAGGGGTTGTGTAAAATTGCATAACTATGATGTTTTTTTAACGTTTTTCAATTTTTCAACGTTTTTAAGTAATATCTAATATCATGAAAAACGAAATGTACACTAAATAAAAGAAAGCCGTGTGAGAGTCTACTTAATGGATGAAATTCCTGCGCTACTTTTAAATGCCAGCCCATTTGAAGTTGTAACAGCTGAGAATAGCCTGTAGGCCGTCGGTCGGTCCCATGTTTTACGTTTATAGTTTTGTTATTAATTATTCATGTCGAAAGTCGATCCCCACGCCACCATTTCAAGGGCGCTGTCAGCTTTTGACAGATCCACATGGCGTATGGGTTAAGTATTAACATCCATTTCATACGAAGCCATATGCACAAAACACACATAGCTGACTCATATCACGTTGTGTAAGTTTTTTAAAGCCATTAAATGTCATAAATTCTTCATTTGACGCCTACATCAGCTTACATGAGGTTGTTATTAGGGCTGCAGACCAGGGCAAAACTACACGCCCAAGGAACCGCCATTTTGTCTCCTATGTTTCCTTCTCGTAAAATGCATACGCCCTTTTAATGTAAGCTTTGCAACGGAAACACTATTCTGTACACGGACTATCAATCATTTTCCAATGGGCATTGACGCCTAGCACCCATATGAAAACAGGCGAAGCTTAGAATGAAAACGTTTGTCACTTCTATACTTTTGGCTACCATGAAAAAGATCCTTCATTCCCTCCAAAATGTAGTAATTATAATATTTAATGCATTAAACCATTTGCGCTTTATATTTTAGGTCACGTGATATTGTTTACACCGCCATCTTGGGTGTCAAATTTGTCGTCTGCTATTCTAGGCCACCCTGAGCGGGAAACTGCCGTCAAATGACAGGTGTCCGCATACCGGTCGCTTCTTTCGCCTCGGCACGGATGACTTGACCAGGTATGAAGAGAAATGTGTTATGTTAGGACGTGTGACCCGTGTGACAGAGATCTCGCACCGCCAGTGATTTCGCACCCCCCGGAGCGAAATCACTAGCGATCTCGCACCCCCCCCCCCCCCGAACGATATCACTCGTGATCTCGCACCCCTTTGGTGATCTTGCACCCCCCGGGGTAACAGAACACCCCGTATGTGTTCTGTTACGGCCTTCGTAATTCACAGTGGTTACTATATCAGATGCTACCTATTAACAAACATTATCCTCTAGTATGACAATACCAATATTCAGTAATTACCCTCGCCAAGAAGGTTATGTTTTCGTGGCGGTGTGTCTGTTTGTTCGGTCTGTCTGTCTGTTTGTCTGCCTGTTACCACCATAACTCAAGAACGCTTGAATATATTGTCTTGATACTTGGTAGGTGGGTTGGTCTTGATGAGACCTCGAAATGATTAGATTTTGGGCCCCTTAGCGGCTTGTTATGGTACTGCAGCAGAACTTCCGGTTTTTATATCTCGTGATCTTGATCTATGACATAGAACAGCTTACCAAATAAATGTGTGGTGCTAAGCAGAGAAATATTGGTCATGTCGTAAAAATGATTTTTAAAAAATCAATAATGAAGAATGACATAACGTTGAATTAATCACACATTCTTCTTGGAACTAAGGGACACTATTGCAACCAATCATTGGGCACAGTCACCATTATTGCGCTGTGCTGAAATACGTCACATTAGTCCAGGGAAACTTGTAAAACTCTCGATTACAACACTAAAGTATGGTTTTATCACACTAAAATGCAGTTTCAACTATATACCGGGCAGACAGAACAATTTTCAAAATGTTTGGCGGGGGGGTGCGAGATCACCGGGAGGTGCGAAAACACTAGTTTGCTAGCGATTTCGCCCCGGGGGGTTCGAGATCGCTAGTGATCTCGCCCCGGGGGGGTGCAAAATCAGGGGGTGCGAGATCTCCGTTTACTTTGTCAGCGATGATTGGTGTCATGGACTGTGAAGCACTTCCAAATATCGCATTTCCTGACATATATATACGTGTACTTTATCTGCCACCCGTCCCTATACACTGGAGAAGCTATAATGGCTCGTAAACGCCTAAATACTTACAAGTAGACCAACAGCGGTAAGGTCTGTCAAGTGTATGTTTGGGGTCAAGTCAAAACTCGAATAATATGATCCAAGCTATGCTAAGTCGATATTATACAGGCGTTATTCATAAAATAGTTCACTTCAAATACAAAATAAGCAAATTGATATTTCGCATGGACTTAATAATGATATAACTGTACAAATATGCCTTATTTTTTAGAGTAAACAGTAATTAGTTTGAAGGTTCTAAATGTCACCGAAACATATGCAGATTATACCCTATCAGTACTTTATGTGGATCGTCCCTTATGCTTAGGTCACAATTCAAGAAAGGGGCCCGCTCGGCGCGTGTTCGGCGTGTTTTTTGGCACTACCGAACGGGACCTGGACGGAGACCGGCGGGCTTCCCGACGGCTGCCGGCCTATTTTTGGCCCCGCGCGGTCGCCGAATCGATTTTAACTCAGAGTTAAAAACACTTCGGGCCCCGTT